TATTATTAAGGAAAAGACGACAAATGGCTGACAGTATGAGTCGATCCGAAACATGTTAAATATAGCCTATTGTCTATAAAGCTTATTAAAATTACTAGATGCACTCATTAGAAAGAGCGGCCTAAATCAAATGTAATAAAATTCTCCTCTTCAGAAATTGAGAACGGTGTACGAGTCGTTCAACTTATCTTCCCTTTCCTTCCACCTCTGTCCTCAACGACCACAACCATTACTTAGTTTTGCTAATAATAATCATTGTTTTGTACTGCAATGAAGACGTTAAACCCTACAGGGAAGTCTCTTTTTTATTTTAGTTAGAGTTTTGCGGCACTTGTAGCACATCCGGGTCTTGTAGTTGCAGAAGATAAGAGATGTTAAATTTCTGAGATATAAGGACGTTAGATGGCTAATAGGAAACAAGGAGCAAACCATACAAGAGCACACGCCAACCACCTACAGGGAAATCTCTTTTGCACGACGTCTGCCACACGTCTGCTCCGAGTTTGTCGTATGTGTAGTTGTACTCTCCCTCTCCCAACACGTTGCTCGCCTGTGGAAAGTACACATGATATTATTACACATAACATTTAATTCTTGTTCGGTATTAACATGTGATAGTATGATAATATTGTAGAGGACACAGCCTACTGTGCAAAGCAAAATAAGTTCAGACTGATAACAAAAATACGAACTAGTTTATTGTGAGAGAGTCATACACAGGTAATATATACAGTCGGACTTGTCAAAGGTGACCACCAGTTGTTGGGGTATTGGTATTGGTATTGGTATGGGTTTAACGCCCCCTATCAACTCTATTAGGTTATTTAAGGGGCGGGATCTCCTGGTTTAACGTCCATCTCCGATAGGACAGAGCCAAGTAGGAAGTTCGTGCAAAGTGCCTTTCCCAAGAGCACAACGTCGGAACCGACCGAGCTGAGGCTCGAACCCCCGAACCCGCAATCTCACGATTACGAGTCTGGTAGCCTAACCACTTGGCTACCGACGCCACTCAGTTGTTGGGGGAGGAAGTCAGTAGTCTTAGACAGTTGGAGGCAAACACAGCGTCATTATAATGTAAAAAAAGACGCAGGGGAGGGTGGGAACTAGTCGTTTGTACAGGTTGTTGTCTTATACAGGTGACCGTTAGAGCAGGTCAACTGTATTCAGTCTTTCTTTTGGTGTGTGTGTGTGTTTGTGTGTGTGTGTGTGTGTGTGTGTGTT